CTAATATTCATATGACAAATGTAAAAATTTACTACTTTTTTTACTTTAATGAGAAATGTAGCAATTAAATAAGTAACTAGTTTAACTAATGTTAAATGATAAATGATATGTAACAAGTAACTATTTTTTTTCTTTAAAGAGAAATGTAGAGAAATGTAACAATTAACTAATTTAATAGATAAATGAGAAGTCTAACAATTAACTACTTTTATAAAATGTATGAATGTGTATAAGTCTATATAGTTTATATAACTTGTAAATGTATTATAAGTAATATATAATATAATGTTTATAGTATATAATATATAAGTATATTACTATAAGATGAGTAATACACTTATACTTAATACTTTAATATATATATAGAGTCTCGTTCCTATCAGGAGCTCCTGAAGAGAAGCCCCGTGCGGACAAGCCCATCAGAGGGTCTTCCCCGTGGAATTTTTTGATGAAATATTTTGAGCATGTTCCTCATCAAGTCTAGTTTGTCTATGCCAAATTTGAGCTCAAAATTCGATCGGGAAGGCAGTCAAATAAATCCTGGAAACATACTGCACTTTATATGTGCGCAGAATGAGCCATAGTTTTCCAGGATTTATTTGACTACCTTCCCGATCGAATTTTGAGCTGAAATTTGGTATGGACAAACTAGACTTGATGAAGAATATGCTAAAAAAATTTCATCAAAAAATTCCACCGGGAAGACCCTCTGATGGGCTTGTCCGCACGGGGCTTCTCTTGAGGAGCTCCTGATGTGAACTGCCCTCTCTCTCTCTCTCTCTCTCTCTCTATATATATATATATATATATATATATAAGTATATATAAGTATATATTAACAAATGTAATATGTAAATATAAGTAAATAACAATAGTATGGATAAAAACTAAATATCAAATAAATATGAATGTGTATAAGTATATATAGTATATATAATGTGTAAATATATTATAAGTAATATATAATATAATGTTTATAGTATATAATATATAAGTATATTACTATAAGATGAGTAATACACTTATACTTAATACTTTAATATATATATACATATATATATAAGTATATATTAACTAAATGTAATATGTAAATATAAGTAAATAACAATAGTATGGATAATAACTAAATATCAAGTAAATATGAATGTGTATAACTATATATAGTATATATAATGTGTAAAGAATTATAATATGAATGTGTATAAGTATATATTTATAAGTAGATAATTAATATATAAGTAGATATAATAATTATATAAATTATATATATGTAGAAAGAATTTGGAGAAGATGAAGAATGAAGATGATTGAATATGAGAGATTGAGAGAATAGAGAATTAGAGAGTAGGAAGAGTTGTAGAAGAAGAGGCGTAAAAAATTTATAGAAAATAGGAGTATAAATAGGTTTTTTTTTGTATACCCCAGCCCCACCCTCCACCCCACCCCACCCCCCTAACCCCCCAGAACCCCCCTCATATGCTCCCAACGGCTATTATAGCCTTTAACAATTTAAAAAAAAATTAAAAAAATGACCGTTGAGGCCCGGCCGGGCCGGTTCACTAAATAGCAGGCCCGGGCCCGGACCGCTATCTCACCGGGCTGGGTGGCCCAAACCGGGCACTAACCGGTGCACCGGGCCGGTCCGGGCCTGCACAGTAGCGGGCCGGTCCGGTTCCGGGGCGGTTGGCCCGGCCCGAGTGCATCCCTATATACCAACATCAAATGAGCATCGCAATATTCAAATAAATCATTTAAAATCTCTAGTATGCTCAAATATTAAATGAGCACACATAACTTATGAAATGAGCATCAAAAAATTTAAAATGAGCATTATACCAATATGCACGGGTATGATATTTTAATATGAATACTACATCAATATCAAATGGACGTACATAATTTACGAAATGAGCATCGAAAAATTCAAAACTATTTGATATGCTCAAATATTAATTCGTATATGCTCATATGAGTATAGCATAAAGGAAGAAGCACTATCCACAAATGAAATTGCACTCATCAACTAAAAGCATCGAATTCCAAATGGAGATTAATCTAGTAGAATCCGGCTTGTACAACCTGATGATCTCTAGATGATACCCAACGATTCAGTCTCTCTGTCCCTGCCTAGTATAGCCCAATCTGTCTCTTGTTTAGAAAACACCAAAAAATCAAAACCTCCTGGTTAACGTGGGGAACAAATCGTCTAGGGCCTCACTCATCTTCTCCAACTCTCGAGTAATATGTCCGCAACAAGATGTCTGGTGAAACTTCACCAAATAAAAAATAGCTCGCCCCAATTGTAACCCTTGATTCAACAAAATATTACCAAATATCCGGTTGTACCATGCACACGGTACAATCGGTTGTACGATATATTTTGATTAAATATTCAAAAAAAACTTTGTATTATCTTATTTTGTTTTTATCTACGTAGATCTATTTGGTATTTTGGTGCTCCTTGTCTGAGTTTTGTATGATTTCTTCTTCAATTGACTTCTTGAACTAATTACGTCCATCAAAGAACTCTGAGATTGGTGAATCTGGGAATCAAAAATAGTGTGAGCTAAAAATTAACACAAACATATACTTGGTACAAAGTATATAACAACAAAACAAATCAATAATTATTAAAGAAGTCATCAAAATTTCCCTTACGAAACTTCAAACTTCGAAGTAAAAAAAAAAAAAAAAAAAAAAAAAACAAAAAAAAACAAAAACAAAAACAAAAAAAAAAATTCAAACTTCGAAGTATAAAATTCATCAATAATGAAATTTTGATTTATGTTGTTTACAAACTCTCTTTCAATATTGATCATTCGATCACTAGAATCTTCAAAAACTCATCCCCATTTTGTTAAGAAGAGTTGTTTTTACATGTTTCATTATTGAAAACACTCTTCCACTCGTGGTTTTTTAAACAAGTAGACTCAAAACGAGACAAGTTAACATTGACGAGGGTCTTCATTAGGTTGTTTTTGGACAATTGCACTGTTGTAGATACAAGTTGAGGTGGGTTTAAACTCCTTTTGTGAATTCGACAATCCAAGTTCATAAAGGATGGGAAAATCAATGTCTTTCCTTTCTTAGCAACATGTTAATCAAACATTTGAACTCTAGAATACTAAGGGGTAAGGGGTGTTTGAAAATAAAATGTCAGTCATATTTGCCTTTTCGGATCGATTTTAACTATGTGACATTGTCAAACAACTACTTTAATTGTTTGGTAAACGGCCTTTTGCTATCAAAAAAGCCAAAAATGAAAAAGTCAAAAATGAAAATGCCAAAAATGAAAAAGTCACTTTGAATATCTTTTTCACAATAATTTTTTATATTATAATATAAAAGCCTAATATGCTCTTCAATTCTAGCCCTTTCGCTAATTATTTGATAATTATTACAAAAATGACAATAATTACGACACTGTAATAACACCGGTAAGAAATATCATCACGAATATCAAAGCTATTTTACACCCCGTAATATAATTTTAAACACTACTAAAAATAATCATATTTAAAATATTAATACTAAAAGTAAATGAATATATATATATGTGTGTGTGTGTGTGTATGTATTTGTGTGTACATGTATAGAAATTAAAAGTAATAGTAGTAGATAACATATAATATACTGCGCAATAGTTAATGTACTTGTATAAAAAACAATTACATCATTTCCAATGGAGCGAAATACATTATTTTTTGATTTGGGAATATGATGGAATAAAGCAAAATGACTCACTAAATTGTCTGTGTTTCTTTTTTTAAAGGAACAATTGTTCCATGCAAATTTCAACGTAATTTTCTTCATGGGTCGTCTGGAAACAGTCTCCCTATGCTTTAGTACATGTACATGGGTAAGATTGTGTACATTCGACCCCCCATTGTGATAATGTTGTTGTTGTTGTACTTATAAAAAAAATATGCTCTGTAAAACGTTAAGTTAAATATATTCTATCATTTTTTATGTGTATACATACTTCAATGTCATTTTATATCTTAATTAAGAGCCAATCATGAACAACTAATAATACAAAATGGAGGATTCACGAGGGTGGTAGGCACACCCACTTCAAGCCCCGTAGAATATTATTAGTTGTGATTGATGCCCCCACTTGAGTTCAAGTTGGATTTTTAATATTAGCTCTTAGTTGAGTGGCTTGATTTTATATGTTATTGGAGTTGTTGGGAAGAAGAAAACACTATCATTAGTCTTGAGTTTTATTTAAAAAGAACCATTGATGTAGACAAATTGCTCTTTTTTATGATATAAAAGAAGATTATTCCAAAATAAAGGAGTTTTTTTCCTAATTAATGTTAATTAATTAAATAATTACGAAAATAGGGTTGAGTTAAAAGTATTTACCAATATATTGCTGGGTTAACCAGGGTCGGGGTAAGTCGCCCAACCGTTGGGCGACTTATAAGTCGCCAAACCGTTTGGCGACTTATAAGTCGCCCAACGGTTGGGCGACTTACCTATTAAATAGGCAGACGGGTTGGTTCACAGACAGAACACGTTTATTCCCCCAAATCCCCCAAACCTCTGCTGCAGCGACGAAGACGAGCGACGACCGACGAAGGACGAGCCATCTCCAACTCCGGCGAACCTCCTTCTCCGGCGACCCCATTCCGGCGAACCTCCATCTCCATCTTCATCACTCTTTCTTCTTTCTTCTAGGTAAATCAAACTCCATTTCATCTCATTTTGAACTTAGGGTTTTGAATCTAAAAATTATCAAATTTTTGGATTATGAATTGATTGTGAATTCAGTTGTTGTGAAATGTGGATATGTATGAAATGTTGAAATTTGATTTTAAATTGATTGTAAATTTTAATGTGTATTTTGACATTTGGGCATTTGGGTAGACTTGAATATAGCTAAATTTTGTTTGTTTGTAGGCATGGAGGTGACAGCGGATCCTGGGCCGAGTGATCGTTCTGTCCTGACATTGCAGGCCTCACACAGGAGTGAGGATGTTTGGCTTGGCATGGATGTTCAGGTGGATAGGTGCCGCGAGCACCTGCGGGGGTTGTCGCATTTACACGTGGACGACATAGTACTAGCCTATGTTCGTGCTGCGGGTTTTTATAGTCTACACAGATTAGTGGCTATTGTGCCTCTAGATAGAGCGCTTCTCACTGCTCTACTTGAGCGTTGGAGGCAGGAGACACATTCATTTCACCTCCTTGTTGGTGAGGTGACAGTTACATTGGGAGATGTTGCTGTACTTACCGGGCTACAGGTTGATGGGAGAGCTGTTACAGGCACTGCTTGTCGACAGTGGGTGGATGAGTGTGAGCGGTTGTTAGGTATCCACCCCGTTCTTCGGACTGACCTTCAGGGGTCATCTCTGAGGATGCCATGGTTGAGGGAGCACTTCCAGGTGCTTCCTCCCGACGCTGATGAGGTGATGATCCAACAGCATGCCCGGGCATATATCTTGATGATGATGGGAGCCTCCATTTTCGCTGGAAAGAGCGGTTATGAGATTCAGGTGCTGCACTTGCCTTTGCTAGAGAGGTTTGATGTAGCAGCACAATTCAGCGGGGGTAGTGCCACGCTGGCTTATCTGTACAAACAGCTTTGTCGCGGCTGCCAGAGAGGGAGCACAGAGCTTGGGGGATTTTTGCTACTCCTCCAGATTTGGTCATGGGAGTATATCCACATTGGGCGTCCCATTATAGTCGCATATCATGGCATTGATGGACACCCACTGCCTGATGAGACTCCACGTCTTCTAGGACCACATCATGTATGGGGCGAGGACCCTCTAGGCCGTCGGTATGTTTTCAATCATTGGTATTTATGTGATTGTATGTTGAATGTAAATATATTAATAATATCCATATTAATGATACTATTACATGAATGGTTAGATGGCTATATGTTGGTCTATCTCGCATGTCATCCGCTACTGGGCTCGGTGTGTACAGGGATGCATTTGATCGGATGTCTGAGGATCGGGTATGGTGTGGGTAATATAACATTAACTATAATATGTATAGAATAAATATTAATTTTGTATCTTTATGAAACAGATTACATGGATGCTGTATACACCTGAGATGTTTGCAGAGTTGCTCCCAGCTGGACGAGAGCATAGTCACATATGGTGAGCACGTGTGCCGTTGATATGTTTTGACATTGTTGAGCTTCATTTGCCTGATAGAGTCTTGCGACAGTTTGGGTTTGAGCAGGTCATTCCACGGCCTATCGACACTTATGTTGAGCTGCATGGGCTGGATAGGCGTGGGAAGCATACAGAGGATTGGGCACTCAGACATGTCTGATACGTCACTATGTGGGAAAGGCGAGCTGAGCTAGTTGTGGCTGGGACACCGACATTTGTCCCATCTGTTTCAGGAGACTACATGGGATGGTATTACAACATCACTCGTTTGTTTGTGTCTCCTTCGTTCAGACTCCCTACTTATCATTATCATCCTAGCTCCTTGGCTTTGCATCTTACGGTGAGTATATTAGTAAATAGTAAAGTAAGTCATTTTATTTATGTAATACTTGTATGTATTTCAATGTAATTGTAATTGTGTTTCATATTTCAGACACGAGCTTTGCAGCGCATACATCAGCGGGCTACCGCCACGGTGACTGATACTCATGATGTGGACATGTATGGACAGGCTCTGACTGGCATTGCCTCCTTGTGTTTAGATGTGTTGGGCCGAGTCGACTACAGGCATCTTATACACAAGCCCCCATCTCAGGAGATGCCATCCACGTCTAGTGCAGCGGCGGCTTCATCATCCCAGACGCAGCATGAGAGAGTGGTTCTTCAACCACGACAAAGGCGTAGGCGTAGACATGAGCAGCAGCATCTCCATGACCAAGCTGACGACGGGAACTTGTAGTTTGTCTTTTGTATTGCAGTTTTTCTTATACAGTAGATGTTGTAGGAACAATTTACAACATTTTACGTATTTTCTCTTGTAAACTCTTGTATGTTGTATTGATGTGTTCGAGTATGAATATTAGATGATTACTTGTTATGAATATTGGATGATTGTACTGTGTTATACCGGTAATGAATGTAAGGTTTTGTATTTGATTTGTAAAGGGTATTTACAAGGTGTTTTTTATGTTGTGAGAGTAGGTGATATGTATGTGATTGTGAAGACGTGTGTTGTATGTTTTATAATGTGTTGTATCTGGCTCGTAACACTTAAACAGGAGAAGAGAGACCTTATTTATAGCAAACAGATGAGTCCGGGTTGAACTGGGGCGAAAAACCTGCTGAAATGCTGTTTTCGGACCTAGGCACGATCGTGCGTCCCAGGGTACGCACGATCGTGCGTGGCTGGCAGTAGCTGCTGGCCTTCGATCATATATCAGGGGTAAGTCGCCTAACGGTTGGGCAACTTATAAGTCGCCAAACCGTTTGGCGACTTATAAGTCACCCAACCGTTGGGCGACTTACCCCTTACCATGGTTAAGGCCAACAGTAGATCGGTAATAAGTTTTTTTCCAGCATTATTTTCGTAATTAATTAATTAATTAACATTAATTCGAAAAAAAATCAAAATAAAGTTGATGTTTTGTTTTACAATGCATATTTAACGTCTCTAGTGTAATCGGTAATTTTATGTTAAGAAATTAGTTTTTCATACACACACACATTACTCATAAACATATGACATTACACATGCTACAGGGAAACCAAAAGAACTAAAAGAAGAAAACGATGAAAAGGTGGAGAAGAAGAGAAACAAAGATGAAAGGAGATACACTAATGGAGGAAGTAAGCAAGCGCGAGGAACAGCTCCTCGCCATCACCATCATCACTGGAGAATTGAACCAACCATGTTCCTTGTTATCTATGTTGTTGTAGATAATTCGGAGGGAGCTGAGTGAGAAGATAACTTGAATGAGATGGCTCTTGAATGATAAAGTAACATGAGAGTAACATGATAACATGAATGAGTTGCCACAAGGTAGTTAGATGGGAAAAACTGTGAGCAAAAAATACTAATCCATGCACATCATATAACAAAGGAAACGAAGATACTAAGAGATATACTACGTACAACAAAATAACTAGGCGAAAAAAATTATTAACCAACTTGTGTTAATGATGGTTTTTTGTGTTTACAAATAATGAAGCTAACATGTGTATTGAGTGGTTGTAAGTATCCATCTTTAGAGCAATCTACTAATATAGTTTTCCTAGAATGATTAAAAAAATACCCTTAATTAATGCCATGTAGATTACAGCTTATGGAACAACTATCAAACAAATTTATCACTTTAAACTTGTTTTGAGTAACTTGATAAACATTTTCCTCTCTTACAATTGAGTCTAATTCCCTTATTTTACTCACTAGATGAGTGCTTTTCCGATCAGAAGAGTCGATTTTTTAAAATTCAGAAGAGTTTTGTCACGAGTTTTCTCTTTCACCTCTCTTTATTTTGCTGGTGTCTAAACTTTTTAGATTAACTTTTTTACAATGCGAATACCCTTATTTTATACTTCTAAATTTTACCAAAATGAGTTTTAAACTTTCTGAAAATAGTACTTCAAAATAAGTTAAAACAACCCAGTAGCTAAAAACTTATTTTGGTTTTATCTTGTTACAGATGTGTTGTATTCAATATTTATGTTGATCCGGATCCCGAAACTTGAACTTATTTCTTGCAACTTGATTATAAGCCTCTGAAACAATATATTTATTCGTACAAAAAATCAACGTGAGTTTACTCGCTACATCCTTCAAAGTTAGCTTTTATTCTATGAGTTTGTTTTTTTTCACAATAACACTCTCCCGTTGTTCCTTAACCGGTCTTGTATGTTCTTCATATCAGCACTCTTCTGTTTTAAAGCAAGACTCTCCCGACTATATAGAGCCGCCTGATCTTCTTTACATGAGTCCTCTGTTTTCGTAATCAACACTCTTATCATTCAAAAATAGCAACCTATTATTTACACGGAAGAGTTCTTTTAACTCTCCTATTTTGAGTCGTTTGTTGACTCACCAATTTTAATTTGATTCCTCTATTTTTCGAGCTTCATGTTTTGAACTTTTGACTTGTCCAAACAAATCGATCCTTTGGCCCATTTAATGCTCCAAATCACGAGATTGCATACCAAATCATTCCATAATATATTCAGAAAGGTGGGAATGAATAAAGGAGCAATTGCGACCATTGGAATTTTAATATTTTTTATTTGATATCCAAACTTATTTTCATGGTTAATTCTGAATTATTCATTCCATATATTGATCATAGATCACCTCCTATATATTTTGATTGACACCGATCGATTCAAATGCAAGAAAACTATTCAACAATACACCTTGAACATTCTCAAGGCTCGCTACACTTCGATATTCATTCTTCTGTATAATTTGATGTACTAATCATTTTTTGAAATTCTTTTTGCAAAATTCTAAGTGTTTTCTTAATTTCAATCATTGTTAAGCATTGTGTACAATTCAAAAAACTTTTTGAGAGCTAATCTGATTTTTGCAATACGCATAGTTCTTGATGAAATCTTTGTTATATCTTTTTGTGTATTGTATTCTCTACTCAAGTCAAGCATCAAACCTTTGTATTCTTGCTTGGGAGTTGATAAGCACAATAGCTACCTATATTTTATATAGGTAATTATGATTATCTGTACAAATATTCAAAGACAAAGCAGGTATAAATCCCATTTTGAGTAAAAACCGCACAAATACGTCAAAGATGAAGAAACGGGAGTCAACAATCGAAAGGGGCCGAGAACCGACACTTCGGGGTCAACCACGGGCGTAAAACGGAGCGAAAAATGAAGAATTGCAGTGCAGGGGAAAACCGGCACCGGTATACACGTATAACCGGCGCCGGTTTTATTTAAAAAGCTTTACTACGGGGAACCGAAGATCAACCGGCGCCGGTCGACCCCTATAACCGGCGCCGGTTATGGCCATTTTCAAAATAAATCCAGCTGCGAACGAAAACCGGCACCGGTTTTACCATATAACCGGCGCCGGTTAATCCCGATTCTGCACAAAACATGGAGACGTGCAGAAATATCTTGATGGGAAAAACTCACCTTCCTCATGATCTGATCAAATATATCTTCCATGCCTGATTGTTGGGCTCGAATAGACTAAAAGATGTCAATCTTTAGCCTATATAAAGCCCCCAATTCATCAAACAAGATCATCAATCCATCCTTGAAGCTTAAATTTCAGTTTTTATATTTTATTTTTGCATTCTCTTGAAGTGTTGGAGAAGAAGCCATTTCTCTCCTCTACAATTGGTTCTAGGTATTATTTCTTGTATGTTATTGTATTTCCTTTATCTTAGTTACACTTTTGTAATTAATATGAGCTTAAGGAGCTAAGTTCTTAGCTAAGGCTAGGGATGAACTTCTATGCCCACTAGGTGTTTGATAAAAGTTCTAAACCAATAAATTGTGATTTATCCTTTACATTTTGATTGTTTATGACTATGGTGTACAACATAGAAGTATGTTAAACTTAGTTTATGCTTGCAATTAACGTTGAGGTCTAAACTATGAACATTAAAGGATAAACATATATATTACCGAGAATAGAAATATATCCGGTATTATATGATACGGGTGTGATGTCTTGATATTCAACGGGGTTTTCGGTAGATGAATGTAAGCCGTAACGGGACTTACACGTAACGAAAACCACGCTCTCACTGCCTTAACCGGAGTTGAGAATATGTTAGCGACATCGTATTCATAATTGTTGGTAAAGAACTAATATTCAACCCTATTAAAGCATTTAAGTGATTCCTGAAGCCTTAGTTGTTGTTATCAATCACTTTAATCAAATTAATTTAAGTTATATCTCTGAAAATTAAAAAAGAAGAATCAAGTTGTTGTTTTCACCAACAACACACAACTCAAAATCCCTGCACTTTACTCATTTATTTATTTAAAGTCATCTACTCTCGGACTAAATTAAACAACGTTTCCCTGTGGATTCGACCCGGTATTTTACCGGAATTTATTACTATATCGGCACTTGTACACTTGCAAGTTTAGCCCGGTCAGGAGTACGAGATCAGATTATTGTTATATTAATTTCATACACTTTGTAAGGTTTCGTTTGATTTTTCGTGAAACCAAATTCTAGGTTGTTGGTTAACCCTTTGTAAAACCAACATTGAAAATCATTGAGGTTTTCACGAAAACCATTGAGGTTTGTGGTTTCTCCTCTTGAAAACCATTGTGGTTTTTTATTGATCCTCTTTTAAAAAGAATTGGACAGGTTTTTTGTTAATCCTCTTGTAAAACTAACAAGGTTGTGAGTTAGCACCTTGTAAAATCCAACACCCATTGGCAAGGGTTTGTTTGTCAAAGCTTAGGTGTGCTCTTCTTGATTTCAAGGGAGACCATATTAGTAGATTTGAAAATCTCAAGGGAGGTGCCCTTGAGGAGAAGAGTAGGACTAAGCAAACCTTTATAAATCTTTGTGCATCTTACTTGCTTTCTTGTTTTTACTTTGACTTTTATTTGTGCACATACTATTCTGCTCACTTGCACTCTTCTGTATTTGTCCTAATGTCTATTACTCCGTAAATCTTTTGGTAATAGTTACAACCTTCTGCTTGACTCTACGAATGAGACATTTGTTAGGAAATGAGGCGGAGGATAACGATCAATGGTGAATATATAATGGTCTCCACCTTGCTAACGAAATAAGGAAGTCATCTGACTACCACCTACCTGTTACGTAGCGTAGGGGTAAAGGTGCAAGTTTAATGCTTAAAGTGATACCGTCGGGTATGAAGGAGCATGGTTCTCACCATGC